CCGGAGGCAGGAGCACAGAGCGCCCGGCCTTGCCACGCACCTGCTGCCCCAGCGGAGCTGAGGGGACTGGGCGCCACCATATTGTGGGTATGGCAGCAATTAGCATATTCCCTCCTTATTTGCTGTGGGCGCTGCCATCTTTGCAATGGCGTGAGGGTCAATTAGCATATTCCCTCTTTATTCGATAGGATAAGATATTATAAACTGTATGCCTAATATACAGTATATATATTATATACATTGCATATACATATATGGCATTAAAATGTGGTTGGTGTGTGTGCAGGAGGCATCAGTAGTTTAGATATCTCAGACTGCATCTAACAAAACTGGACACTACATGCTGCAGGGCTTACAAACACCAGGCTCTTTGCTTTAGAGCAGCAGTTCTCAACCTGTGGGTTGCGATCCCTTTGGCAGTCAAACGACCCTTTCACAGGGGTCACCTAAGACCATCCTGCATATCAGATATTTACATTACTATTTATAACAGTAGCAACATTACAGTTATGAAGTAGCAACGAAAATAATTTTATGGTTGGGTCACAACATGAGAAACTGTATTTAAAGGGCCAGAAGGTTGAGAATCACTGCTTTAGAGGCTCACAATTCTAGGAAATTAAAGCAGATAAGAGGTTATATGATTGCTCTACTGGATAATACAATTAATCAGTTACAGAGCTGAGACTAGGATCAAATTTTTTCAGTTCCAATCCTTACTGCCATGCATCAGCTAGTCAAAAGAAGTATCCAGGAAATGTCAACATAAAACAGAATACTTAAGTGTTGCCTCCATTATTAAATCATCATTCCTGTTATTAAAACATTACTTCTTTTAGGTTCTCCCATCAAAAATGCTTTAGAAAAATGCACTGACAGGAGAATTTTAGTTGCTTATTCTCTGGCATTTATAATTCAGTTTTCCAGAGCTGGGACGAGCAGAGTGGTTGCAAAAAAGAAAAAAAAAAAAGGGTGGGGGATCTGAAAAGGGTCATATACTTCTTTTAAATAAACTGCCATTTAGGTAGAGCACATTTTAAAATTAGAATTATTTACTATATATATTAAATTCAATCTGTCCTATTATATGTTCCTAGAAAGATGAACTTTACCTTGTACTTTTTGAATGAAAAACTTCATCCAAAATTATCACCATTATAATTGCAAGGCAGGCTTCACCTGAAAATCTTACCTAATAATAGACAAACATGGTAATTGACCATACCTTCGCTACGCCTCCCATTGGCTAATCAGCGAGATATGCAAATTAACTGCCAACAAAGATGGCGGCCGGCAGCCACGGAGCTGGAACAAGCAGGAGGCTTGCTTGCTCCAGTGATGGAGGAAGCCAAG